GAAATACATTCACCACGGAAGGTATTATCGTTCATTTTCCATTATTTTATATTTTTTTCCCCCGCCAATTTATTTACCGTGGATAATTATTACGAATGGTCTCGCGTTGGTGTTAAAGGTCTCTTAAAAAAAATTGTCGCTAATACCCTGCACGAAATCACGGGATTTCTCTGGAACGTGTCGACAACACGAACCTCGGCGAGGCAACGTCCGAGATTATCTTGGACCGGGCTCGAATGACGCCGGTTTAATCGAGTCGGAGGTAATCTAATTCGTCCTTTAGAGGCAGCGGCAGCGGGAAGGAACGAAACCACCGAGAACGAGGCCGGCCACCCCTCGTTTCCTCTGTTTTTCTTCCTTTTTTTCGCCCGTCTGAGCGACGCTTTTCTCGCTCGACGGAATAAAATTAAACCCGACGCAAGGAACGACCACTAGACCGGCTCCCGAGGGTTTAGGCGGGGACTAATGTGTCTGCGCACATATGAGAGCTTTATCTTTTTTTTTCCCCTCTCTCTCTCTCTCATTTCTCGTACACTTTTCATCGCAGTCTTAAGTCGTCAGGCTAAAATGCCTTTGAATGCTATACTACACTTCATGTAAATTTCTTGTAAATTGCATTGCGAATTTTTTAAATTTGATTTTTCTTTTTTTTTTTTTTTTTTTTTTAATTTTAATTCATGCTCGATGTGTAATATTTTATGAGTTATAGTATTTTAATTAATTATTGATCATACAATATGTATGATATACAGTATGTATGCAAATTATATCTGTTTCGCATATATTATGTAAATGATGTAAGGAACGTTCGGCTACAAGTGTTCAAAAATTATTTTATTTTCAACCAAAGGGTCAATTTAGAATTTCCAATATATCATTAGATAAGATCACAATATTCTTCTCGAAATAAACGTAATTTGTTCTAAAATTTGATTAAATTTCATTGAAATTAGAGAAGAATTAAACCGTTATAATTTTAAAGATAGCATGAATGGATGAACGATTATTGGAAGCGCAAAACCTTGCTCTTTAAAACGCTTTCTTGTTTGTCTCGACACGATTTCCGGTTCTCGAGACATCGTCGTGTGAGAAAAAGATTATTTTTAATCGTTTTACTTAAACGTAATTAAATCCTATTAAAATTAGAAAAAAAATTTAAATTGCTAACTTCGAGGATAGTGATTTCCGGTCAACGAATGGACGATCATTAGAAGCGCGGAATCTTGTTCTTTAAAACGTTTTTCATTCATCTTCGTACGACTTCTGGTTCTCGAGATAAAGTCGTGTAAAGAAAAAGTTAATTTTTAATCATTTATTATCTCCATCCTTATCATTAACTCTGGATTGCACTGATCCAGATAAGCGATCCTTGGAAAAACTTAATACGCATTTCCAAAAAAAAAAAAAATAAAAAATAGGTCACTGGGTCATAGGCCCATTCTAATATTAAATTCTTTATATTAAACGCTAGATGGACACTTTATATCTCAAATTGACAATTAATTGAAATATTAGGATAAGACAAAAAATAATTTCAACGATCTGATTTCCTCTGACGACAAAATTTGTATGGAAAATAAGAGTAAAGCACCTCTTTACTATGAAATTTCAAGATAATAACTATTATGCACCATATTGATCATTTCTTAAGATTAAAAGACTATTTTTGATATTTCAACATTAATTTTAGAAATATTTTAATCGATATATAATACAAATATACATCGAAATAATATATTCAAACAAAAATAATAAAATATATAAGTATAATCTATGATGATCTAAAACTCTGTCAAATGTATTGGTTGTGCGAGTTAAATGAAATTACGATACAAACGCGACTCAAACAAGAAATTTACTCTTTCACCGATGCGCGTGCGAAAATTTATGTTGAAAATGATGTTGAAAGTTTGGCGAGGGTCAGGGTATCAACGGCGAGTTTAGTTAATTTATCGAGTTTGACGGAACTCTTTTTTCTAGCGTAGCGAATTCTGGCCGGCGGAATAAATGATTGTGGCGATTAAATATTCATGCATAAAGCCGTGGTAATTTATTTAACGAATATACACGAATCTTTGCCACAGGAGTTGATTTACTGAGTTCGTGGCACGCGTAAGACCACGCATTTTCATAAGCTCTAATGTTACCTCATATAACTACCACGTTTAAAATTTAGTTTCACGTTTACATCATTTTTAAACATTATTCTCGGAAAACGTTTTTTAAACGACTTGCATAAACCGCTAAATTTTTAAACTTGTTCGTTACACGTTAAATTTACTGTATCATTTTACAAATATTAAGAATGAAGAAAATAATTGATTTCTAAATTTTCGAAAAATGTTATATATATCTCAAGATATCTATAATAAATTAAAATTTGGCAAACAAGAATTACTTTTTTTTTTTTTTTTGTATTATTATTAAGATCTCAAAAAAAAAGAGAAATTCTTAAGTATCTTTCATTTTTAATCATTCTAAAAACAATTCTAGAATTTGAAAAAAAAGAAGATTGATAATTTATGATACTTCAAAATGATAGAGTATCATAGAATTTTTGGATTTACAGTGATCATTCACAAAAATATAATAATTTACCTAGGTACAATGGTAAATAATTCAACTTATAGAAACTTCACGTTTCTACTTGCAAAGAATTTTACAGAAGAGAATAAAGGAAATTTTAATCTTACACAAAGTTAAAAAACTTCGACTATAATATATCTTTCATGTTCGTAATATATATTTATAATAAGTCGTCGAGCTTTGAATTTTTCTCCGAAATTCAAGTAAGGATCATGGTATACAAATCGAAGCTTCCCATAGTGTCACGTTTTATGCCATGGATATAGTCAGGCCGTGAATAGCATGCCACAAAGCCGTCCATTTCTCTAGCGGGTTAAATTTCTGCGACTCGGCCGTGCGACGTTGACGAATGCGTTGGCCAAAGAAATCATGGCTCGCGTGGCGGGTGAACGTGCGCGAGCTATCGTTTGCATGAAAAACCACGGTGATCCGCTCTTAAATCCTGGCTTGATCGTCCGTGGTGTCGATCTGCTGGTAACTTGCTCGTGTAAAAAGGAAAAGTTGCATCAGCCGTGCGTGAAGTTAACGTTTTAATCATATTTTCAAAGTGGAACGGTTCAATTGGAAAAGAGAAACGGGATTTCGAAGTGGAAAAGTATAAATTTTGCCCCTATTTCTCGTATATGCTTATTGATAGAGCAATTAATTTATTTTCCATGCTTGAATACATTTTATTTCAATTAAAGATAAAATTAATTTAATTCCTTGAAATAGAATAACAAATAATATTATTAATATCTCTTATGGTTATATTGATAAGAAAATTGATGCAAATATGGATTAAAAGGTAGTAATTAGCAATATTTTAGAAATAAAATGATATATATATATATATAT